ACATTCAAACAGTGTTAAACACTTTTTCACTGTTAGTTCAAAAAAAAACACACCATCAAGACATGATCAATTTCTCAGATAGGGTTTGCCTGTCTTCTTTATAATCTTGATCTTCATAGCTTATGATTGATGTTAGTTTTCTACGGAACTGGTGAACTATAACCGCATGTCCTGAACAGAACTCTTGTTTTTCTCTTGCTAAGACACGGCAGAGATACTGTAGTTGGTTTATGGCCAGTCATGTGAGTTCTCTAAATAATGTTAAGGTTGACTGAGCACAGGAAAGTACCAGTCCATCCAAAAATCTAAAATAAATAAACCATCAACACTGCATTGGATTGGCTAGATAAAATTTTCAATTAGCCAATAAATTGCATATTAAATTGCTCTAATGTAATTTATATAAATCATGCTATCACTAATGTTGCGTTATCTGGGGGAAAAAAAGAAAGTACTAATATGAATTATAAATAGATAGATAAAGGAAGTGGTGACATCTCACAACTGTCATTTTAAATTAGAAAAAAATCTCATTATCACACAGATTTTGAGGAGGTTAGCGTTAGCATAGTTGTGTATGTAGACGTTGCAGGACAGTTTCTTACTTATTTTAATGCAACTCAATGTATTTTAATTCATGTGAGTCTAAAGCTCTACTGGAGCTGGATTAGTTTTACCTGGGGAGGTGCTGTAATTTCAGTGATCACCAACGAGATCCTTGATTTTAATCCAGTACAAATCTACCATGTCTGTAGTTTTTAAAATTCTGAAAGTAATAGTGAGTGAGTTACCCTCTATAATACTCCAAACTCCCCTAATGCTCCCTCAGTAATAGCAGGCCTGTTCGAATTAACATCACTGTAATATAATAACAAAACCGGGAAAACAAAAATGGCACCATTTTTTCTTTTTCTGCGACCTGAAGACAAGACTGTCAGCTAAATGGAGCTTAATTTGACCCAATTCCTTCGTCCTCAAGTTCATGACAAGAGTACTAAAATCAAAAACAATTTGCTGTACATTCACTCCCATATGCTGTGATTATGCATCATTATTTCGAATTGAACGGACGCCACCTCACACTGAAAAGAGATCTGAAGTCTCCTTTTCTATCCAGTGTCGCATTTTGTTTATATATTTATTTTTTGTTGCTATATTTAAGTATGGCGCCTGTTGCACAATGCTGACTTTAATGCCTGGGTCATGTTTCAAGGCTGTCTGGGGTAATTTGGGAAAATTACACAGATCCTTTATCCTGTATGAATCAGCTAGTCTAATCAATTACAAATTACATTACTGGACCTCCTCTGGTAAAATGAATCCAGCAATAGGGCTTAAGTCAAGTCTTGATTCTCTGGGGTGTGAGTGCGAGCCGAGTCTTTAGCATTAGCAGTACTGCACTGCACAAAAGTAAAACCCTACTAAGAACATGTCTGATTTGACACAGCTTCAAATGAACCTTGTATACAAAAAGCTTCAGTTTGAAGCACAGAACTGAAGGGCTTCACAGAATAAATGTGGTCTTCACAGGAAAAGAGGTAAATTGAAACGGTTGGTTAGCCTGTCGTTTGTGTAGCATGTCATTTGCTAGCTGGCAAGATAATCCAGCTGAAGTTTTAATATGTTTTAAAGCAATGTGACCTGTAAACAATGAAAACTGCAGCTGGATTAGGAACTTCTGTTAAATTAACTAGGGCACTAGCTAGCATTGCTATCCAAAATACGTTAGCTAACTATTTCAAGTTGCTTTGCTTCTTTCCCTTTGCATGTATAGCGCTTTGTTCAGTCCATCAGACTGAAGGAAATGAACTGATTTTTGAAGCCGTATCAAATCTGGCACTGCAGTAATGACTGCGTATGACCGCTAAAATGACAAGCAAAGAACAATTTTATTCATTTAACACATTGAGCTTGGCCCTCCTAATCTAATCAGTCTTGATATTTCACAAGTCATTAGTCTCGAGTCAAACTGCAAGTGGCTCAGTCACCACTGACTCAAGTCACCATCTCTGCTGTGACATTATCCTCAAACTGAAAACATTTTTCACCATGACTGTTTTTAACTGTTGGAGCAATTCATTCTTAGACAGTGTGGTACAACACGTGTTGACTAACTAATATTAAGTAATGCAAGAAAAACTAGCATATCCCAGCATGACAATGCTGAGTGACCAGCTAAACCAGCACCAGACCAGCATATACCAGCTCAGCCCAGCATGGAAGTCACGTTTGTCTGTGCTGTTTTTTTTTTTCAGCAGGGACATAAATAATGGTTATTGATTATTAAGTAAACAAGCAACAGGTACATTACTTAATTAGTTGTTTTCACCTAAATTGTTTACTAACTTTAACTAATGTATTTGTTAACATTAAAAACTCATGAGATACTATGTTAATAATGGTTAGCTATGTAACAAATGTAAACAAATATCAATTAATTATTAAAACAAGATTAAGTTTCACTTTTCATCAGGTATATTAAATGTATTGAACAAATTCTTATTGATGTTTAGTTCTGTTTAATAGGTGGTATTGCTAAGATATGATTAGTTTTCATTTAAAGTGTGTGATATCCTGTTGGGAGTTTTTTAGGGTAAACATGTAATTTCCGAGTATGCAATAATTATTTATGATTATCTGATTACATAAGTCCTACATTTCTGCTATGTAATGCCGATTTACATGAACTTACACAATCACCTTAGTATTTAAGCATTTATTACAGCTAAGCAAACTATTAGGCTTCATTTCTTATTTAATCACAATTTATATATGCACTAATGCACAACGAATAAGTCAATACAATGTCAATTAATGCTATTGTTACTTGTTAAGTGTTTGTTTAATATTAGTTAAGCATAATGAATAGTTAACCTTATGTGTTGTTCATGTTAAGAAATGCATTAGTAATTAGTTAGTCAACACTGTCCTCTTATGTTAGAGAAGGACCATTTCTGTCTTTCTATTTGACACCAGCAAAAAGGAAAGTTCAGACTGACCGTGTAAAAAGTTAAAGTTATTACAGACAATTAACAATGCTTACTGAATCTTAATCTATCTATGCGCTATATGATGAAAGCAATGAAAAACATGAATGAATGGATTTGTTATTTGCTTACTTGATACTAGCTAACCCTTATTAATGCAATATTTCATGTGTTTTTAAATTTAGTCAACACTTCAGGTAAAAACATAATGTTGTTGTGACTTAATTACCTAATATTATCTGACCATTGTTAATGTAGTACCTCATGGGTTACATTAACAAATGCATCACTTAATATTGTCAATACTTACTGTAAAGTGTAACCGACAGTGGAGTCAAAGATGTAAACACTTGGGTTAGCATCCCACCCAGCGATCAAGATTTCCAAATAAAAGCCTTTTTCATCTGTACCTTCTGCACTGCTGAAGCTCTCAGGGACACTGGAGCATGTTGTAATGCATTTTTTGTATCATTAAGCAGATAAAACAGTCACAGAGATCTAACATACTAAGACTTTCAACATGAAGGTCAAGCTTTCATCATGATGTACAAACTACACAGTCAATATCTATTTAATTTCACAGTGAAGCCACACCAGATCCAGACATCAATGCCTCAAGAATGGGAGCAGTGAAGGGCAGGATTTAAAGCCCATCGCTATCATAACAACATCTTGAATCTCTGAAATGCAAAGTTTATTATAAAAAGAAAATGACAGATGGTGTTTTCAAACTGAGTAAAAAAAAAGAAATACAAGATTCTGATATCACATCCACTATGTAGAGAAGTGACCCAATCTGCAGTCTCTATTTGTTCTTGATGAGGACCACCATATGAGGCCCAGAGGGGGTGTGTCATAATCTGGTCGGGGGTTTTACTACCATTGAAGCAAGTAACAGAGGCTTGGACAGTGTTCCTAAAGATTCTGTGTTGGCACCAAGCTCTAAAAGTGATCATACGAGACTCTTACAGTAATAAGCACAACATTTGGTGAGCTATAAAAGAGATGAACCTGACCCCAAGTCAGAGAAGCAGGCAGCTAGGAGGAGCTTTTCCCAAAGGAAGTCATTTATTCCCAAGACACATGATCTGCTCAGACAACGGGGTAATGATGCTTTAACATATCATTTAATTAAACCAAAATACATGAAATGGAACAAATGAGGTGGATGAACGAAAAGATAAACAAAGTGTTGCTCTTTTAAAACAACAGCATTCAATTGTGCTATTCTGGGTTTTGCATATATTAGTGCATCATTAGTTCATTTTAAAGCTTCAGATCTGTATATACGGAAATATCAGATTAGTATTGGCTGATACTTAAGGTTTCAATATTAGTATCAGTATCAGAAAAGGAAATGTGGTATTGTGCCATCTCTACATAAGAGTACTGAACTTGACACCCAGTCACTGCCAGAGTGACTCTTATATCTCTAAAATGGAAACTTTTCAGGCCACTTCTATATAAAAGTACTTTGTAGGGATGCACCGAAATGAAGATTGTTAGCTGATGCTGATATCCCTACATATCTGGTGATGCTAATACATTCTCAGAAAAAAAAGGTACTGATCTGTCACTGTGGTGGTAACTCTCTTGTCACTTTCTTCTGATAGTGTTTATAAACATTTATAAAATCTGAAAAAACTGGGATCTACCTCAATTAACATTATTAAGAAATATAAGTTTTATGTCTATAAGGTAGCCTAACATTCTGCTCTCAGGGTACAACAGATACGTCACCAAATACCAAATATTGCATATACACTGCATACTTGTATTTTGCTCATAAAACAGTATAAAAAATGTATTTTTAAAAACAAATGGGTAAGAACAGTTTACCAAAACAGAAGCAAACAGATGTCAGACAACTGTAAACTTCTCTTAAGTTTATGAGTATGGTGAAACAAAACATCTGCCATGATCGCTGAACAGATGACTAAAATTACCTGGCATGATCATTATTTTGACTGCACATGATAAATATTATATTTCATGGAGAAGAACTAACTGTACCTGTATGAAGAACTGATAGGTCTCGTTGTTGACTGTGTGATAGTGGTAGAACTCGCCATCGTACCACAGAACCTTCCCTATTGGTGAGTTCTCCTTGGTGACTGCAAACATCCTCTTCGGGTCACAGCATTCTGCTATCAACTTCCTACAAAATATAGATACATGTGTTTTTTAAAGGACAGTTTCACCTGTGTTTCAAAATTTATTCTGCACAATTAAATCGTTGAGATGTAAACAGTCATTCAAGTGGTTTGATGAGAAATTATCTGTTCTAGAGAAATGGACCAAATCAGAATTGTTGACAGTGGTGGTGATAGGAACCAGACGTCTGAAGCCTCTAAAACCTCCCTCACAGAAGGTTATTACACAAAATTGTTATGAACATGTTACCTGATGTCTGATAGTTTTGATATGGTCTTGCCCTTACACATATTTTTCAAATCCATTCATGACAGAAAGAAACATGAAGGGTGTTATAAGGCATGACAGTCCCTGAAGAAAATGCACTTTTTCAGATTTGACGCTATTTCATCATTATTGTTATTACATATATACACTCAGAAGAAACAAGGCTCACTAGTTGTTTGAGATAGTAAATAAAATGGCTATATGTATGTAGTCATTGTGACCTCTGGTTCCTATCACCACCACAGTAAAGAAATCTGAACTGGTTCACAATTTTACAGTCATACAATGTGTAATGACTAAAATATGCAGAATTATTAGATCTCAACAACTGAATTATGCAGACATTTTGAAAACTGTTGAATTCCCTTTTAAAACAAGACTTACTATAATATAGATCAGAGGGAGGGAAGAGGTGGGCAACTGTTAGAATTAGCAGGACACTAACAAGAGCTGCACAATGTACTGTTTGTTAAACCTTAACCCAATATTACTTTTTGCAATAATGATATTGTAGAAGGCCACAATATGCAAATAAGCTGTCTAACCAGTGACAGTGTTTTTCTTTAAGTGCTGTGAGAATTCTGACCAATCACAGCTCCAGATGAGTGTTTTGTTGGTGTTTCTGATGGATCAACCTATTCAGTACATTATTTTGGACAAAATAGAGCAGGCTAGTCTTTACCACACTCTTAAAAAAAAAAAATGCCGAAAAGGGTTGACACAGAGGGACCGTTTTTGGTTCCTTAAATAACCTTTCAAAGAATCGTTCTTCAAAGAATGTAAATTTACCGTACAAACTAAAGGGGAATTCCACCATTGTAAATACTGTCTCCAGAGTTAAATCATTAAGATGTAAACAGAGTTATTCAGAGAGGTTTGGTGTGAAATGCCCAGTTCTAGAAAACCTTACCAAGTCAGAATTATTCACAGTAGTGGTGATAGGAACCAGACGTCTGAATAATTTAATATTTCTAAAAGCTTCCTCACAGAACACTGGTAAATAAAACTGTTAGGAATACATTGCTTGAGACATTGTGTTTTGATTGGCCTAAAACACGCTTTTTAAAACCCATTCATGGTGGTGACATACATGTAAAGTACCTTATTTATGTATTTTTTTTATTTAACACTATTTTACCATTATCAACAAGAACTCAGAAGACACCTGTAAGTCAACTGGCTGCTTTGGATAGTAAATAAAATAGCAACCCCTGCTTCCTATCATCACCACTGTAAAGAAATCCAGGTGTCAGGTTTCTCTACAACGAACCATTTCACATCAAACTACTCTGAATGACTGCAACTGAATTCTGCAGAAATTTTAAAAAAGCGGTGTGAGGCTTTCCTTAGAACTGTCCAAGCCAAAAAACATTTAGAACCTGTTATCATTAACAGTGCATGTTGCATTATTAATTTAATGAAATTGTAAGACATATCACAATCGGAGTATATCGCCATAATAGTAAATGTGTCCATATCGTGCAGCCTGGGTAAGTACTCAGAGCATTTGACTGATGTGACTGACACAGAACACATCTTCAGTCAGATTAGTGACTGAGAATGAATGAAAAGACAAGTCTTTTAATACCTCAGGCTTGCTGCATAGTCATGCTTGACCATAAATGCACTTATGAACCCATCTACACTCCTATTCCCAAGCAGAGATGCCACCAATCCAATACCAGGTATCGGTAACAGGCCAATCAGCAGAAAATGCTGGATCAGATATCAGAGAGAACAAAAAATGAATCTGATCCAATCCTGTAACAAATCTGCCCCAAATCAGCACACATTCACATTCTGTGATGTGACGTTGTTAGCTGTGTATTTTTTCCTGTGAGTGTTTGAGTAGCTTATATATGATAGTATGACAACCTACTTTTAGATACTCATCTTAAATGAAGCGCATCAATTAGTTCATTTTAAAGCTTCAGATCTGTATATACGGAAATATCAGATTAGTATTGGCTGATACTTAAGGTTTCAATATTAGTATCAGTATCAGAAAAGGAAATGAATTTTGACACCCAGTCACTGCCAGAGCGACTCATATCTCTAAAATGGAAACTTTTCAGGCCACTTCTATATAAAAGTACTTTGTAGGGATGCACCGAAATGAAGATTGTTAGCTGATGCTGATATCCCTACATATCTGGTGATGCTAATACATTCTCAGAAAAAAAAGGTACTGATCTGTCACTGGGGTGGTAACTCTCTTGTCACTTTTTTCTGATAGTGTTTATAAACATTTATAAAATCTGAAAAAACTGGGATCTACCTCAATTAACATTATTAAGAAATATAAGTTTTATGTCTATAAGGTAGCCTAACATTCTGCTCTCAGGGTACAACAGATATGTCACCAAATATCGCTTTTAAATATTAGTCCAATCTTAAGTCTCTCCAGTGCCAATACTGATACGATTCTGATATTACTGAGCATCCTTGCTGATGCTCATCTTAAAGCTACACTATGTAAGATTAGAGAGAATGTGTATCCACACAAAACATGCAGAAGAACATATGTGATGCTGTGTGTGTTCGGATCCCTTCCCCGAGCAGATGGATCTGATAATTGCGAGCTGACTGTGTTGTTAGTCTACTATTGTCATCATATCTTCATCAGTATAATGTTCAGTTTGCACTTAACACCTAAACATTGAGCTGGACCTTCTTTTTGAGCCTGTGCATGTGACGTTAATATGGAAAGATATATGACATGGTGTGACACCTCTGACTCGCACACCATATTTAATGTGTTTTTCTTCTGCTGACACAGTAATGCTACTTCTTTTAAGCAGAATGCTTTAATTAACAATAGCTCACTTTAAAGCGTAGTAATTTTTACGGTAGTTTTACACATATTAGATATCGGCCAATATTTGAGATTTCAATATCAGTATTGGAAAAGAAAAAGTGGTATCCCGCCATTCCCAAGCAATGTCCTTGCACATGTCATTAACCTGGCCTAAAACAAGCTGAATCTGAACTAAACTCACTGCAGAGCCACACACAGGTGTCACGCTCTGCGCATTATCTTAATCGGCTTTCCTATAAGTGCGTTGTCTGCGCCACATCCTCTGGAGAAGGCAGTTTAGGAGTAACAGACCAGGCCATGGGAGACTAGCTCTCTCTACGCTGCACCAGTAAAGAAGCAGGACAAATTATGGTGCAGAATGCATGGGGTCATGGCTCCAGGCTTCTGAAAACAAGTGACTGCTAGATAATGACCTCCTGCGAGAGACATTCTTCATGTATTTGTCTGGGATATGAAACAGGCTCACCCACGTTGCTGTAATTGCTACATTACATAACAGCAAATCTTAAAATGACAGGCCTGTACAGTACCTGTACAAATCAATGCCAGTCTGGTTCCTGGTCCAAGCTTGGCCCTGTCTCAGAACCTCCTCCACTACCTCTTTGTCGCTGGGCATCCTGTCGACGGGGAAGATGTAGAGCCAGCAGAGCACCAGCACGCACAGGGCGGCCCAAACGGGCTTACTTCTGTGGCATCTCAGAGACATCATGACGCCTCCAGCAGAGCCAGATCCCAATCCTATCCCAATTACTCACACGCGTCTAGGCTGAGTGTTTCTATTATTCAGGTACCCCCACCGTTACGAGCAAACTGGCTTATACTAAGAACGCGCCGCATCCCTACTCCCTCCAGGAACCTGCAGTCAGTCAGTCAGATAGGTCTAGCCAGTGTCTCGGCCCTTCATGCGTCCATCAAATCCCCTGTTTGTTTCTGCAGCGCTGCAGGCTGACCGTAATGCCCGATGACCATCGCTCGTAGCAGGACAAATGTACAGATCCTCTCTCCATGCGTGGATCAGGTTCAACGAGAGGGCAAAAAAAAACACAGCACAGACTCAGCTCGGCCCAGCCGGCAGCATCCGGGTCGCGTTATCGTGCGAAAGCCAAAGCAGCAGCGCTCCCTCCATCACCCCGAGATGGCCCGTGTGCTCACGCTCCCCTGGCGCTTCCAAAAATCTATGCCTGGCTCTCCGCTGCCACATAGCCCTCTTCACGCACACATCTCGAGCCCGTTCAGCGTCCAAAATGCGCGCTGCTTCCTCCCTTCTCCCTCCGTCGCCCCCCGAATGCAGGAGAGATCTTTCAGTCGCAGAGCCCCTCTGAGTGGCTGCTGTAGCGAGACAAAGCGCCCGTGTTTCAGCCCTTAAATGCTTGGACACGGTTCACTGCAAGCGCCACTGAATCGGCTTTGGCCGAAGCTTTGCCGCCCCCTGCTGGTCAGATTCCCGCGTTCCCGCCGGAAAAAAAGCCTCCTCCCCCACCCCCAGCGACCCTCTTTGTCCCGCTGATACAGAACGCTTGGGGTGGGGACGGTGCAGCCACACCCTGTTTCTTATTCACACTCTGCCCCTCAATCATGCGATGCACAATGTAATTACATTGTTATGAACGTTTTGTTTGCAGCTTGTGTATACATGTACTATAAACACTATACTATACTACAATAGTGTAAATATATATAAACACGTCTATCTATCTATCTATCTATCTATCTATCTATCTATCTATCTATCTATCTATCTGTCTGTCGGTCCATTCATCTATCCATCCATCCATCCATCCGTCTATCTATCCATCTATCTATCTATCTATCTATCTATCTATCTATCTATCTATCTATCTATCTATCTATCCTGCCATCAGTCTATCCATCTGTCTATTGGTCCATCCATCCATCCATCCATCCATCCATCCATCCATCCATCCATGCATCCATCCACTTAATTATACACATTTAAAAACAAAGGTGCCAAATCTGTTCTTCTGCCTGTCTGTCAGTCTATCCATTCATCCATAGAAGAACCTTTGGTTCTAAAGAACGGTATTTGAAAAAGAGATTGGTGAAGACGAAGAACCTTTGTAAGGTACAAAGAAACGTCACATACTGTAAAGCTTTTATACCTATTTAAGAGTTCTTCTTAGAATTCTATATCCTAAAGCTTTACATCTTTAAGTACTGTTTAGGAAGGGTTCCATAGAGAAATACGTCTCTGTCTTCCATCTGCCTTTTCTATGGTGAAAAACAGTGCCAGGGTTTTGTGGATTTGAATTGCCTTTATATTGTGGCAGCTGTAAGTGTTTGTGGTGCATCCTAGTCTTCCCACAGGACCAATATTTGATCAACAAAACAACAAATTGCCTTTCGCCCTCTTGTGGTAAATCTGGATAATACGCCTTGTGTCTCAGTGATGGGCAGATGGAGCCCTGGAGGACAGTAGCACTGTTCTATGTTTTCACTAGTGTAACGCAGCCTGAAGTAGACGTGTTGGAGTAAATGAACACTAAACTGTCCAGTACTGTACTCCTCCTGTACTGGGATTTCTGACCATAATTCCATAATCCATAATAATTTTCTCAGCTGATTAGTTATTTCTGCTACAGTGAACATCAACACCAAATCAGAATAGAGGCTTCATTTCAATTGCATTACTCCTGACTGTTTCAGCATTAAGTGTATCCTGTAACTCTGAGTGCTGGAACTTTCTAGTTAGATAGCTACAGGATCACATGGTCTGTCACTTACTGAAGAAATACTGCTTATGGGAGGCACATATCAAGAAACACTTTCAACAAGTCTCTATCTATGCTCTAACACACCTGGTTCTAATCTCTTCAGCTAGTGTCCAAGATTTTTCCGACCTGTTTTAGAGGAAGGAAAACATGACACATGGAATTGTGCAGGAAAGGCTGATTGCATGGGAACCACTGTTTTGCACTTTCAGAGGTTGTAAAGCTTTTTTTAGAACTACTTTGGCATTATCTCAATTCTCCAGACTATTTAAAAAAGAAAACTGCAAAGTCTGGAAGATATTCTTTCTAAAATGATGGAAATCCAGTATCTTTTATTTAGATAACAGAAAAAGATTCTTACTAAAATCTACATCTCTCATCTCTGACGGACAACATTCCGGCCTCCTGTAATGCCCTCTAGTGGTCACCCAGTAACAAGGAGTTGCAATGTGCTTACACAGTCAAACATGGGCTTAGTCAGACATGCTAACTTAGCAAGGAATGAGAGTTAATATCAGAACTGAGACCTCAGCCCAACAAAAAAAATCCTGGATACCCACACAGACGATAGTCTAAAGCTGTTCTTTCTGTGGAAATTGTTTTAGTGGATAAAAATGCATACCAGACACAGTTTAAACTTCATAAGAAATGATAACATATGAAAATGCCAACATTCCAGGACATTTATGTCCAGTGATGGATTTTTTTTTCCAAGACAGAGGACCAAAATCCAGGACAATCCATGAAAATCCTGGACAGATGGAAACTTTAAAAAACATGTACTTGTAAGTACAATTTTGAAATGAATGCAGTATCAGACATATTTTTGTGTGATTGTGTGTAATTCAGTGGAGTTTTCAAGGAAAGTCTATTACCCCTGAACTGAAAATGAATCTAAAATGTCAAATTCAAGCTAATTTGCTGTAGGTGGATGTTGTTATGCACTAAAAACAAAAGGTCAAACCAAATGAAGCTCTGGGGCAAGAGCAAGAGAAAGTCATCCATTACCCTCAACTAACCTTGCATGCCTCCAGATATCTCCTGCAAGAGAAAGAAAGAGTATGAGAGAATGAGAGATACAAGGGGAAGAAGTTAGAGCAGAAAAAAGGGTTGAAATAATTATGAGAGTGGAATTAAAGGCAAGGCAGCTTTATTTATATAGCACCTTCCATACACTGCCATTCAAAGAGCTTTACAAATAAAAAAAATACAGTCATTTAAAAAGTAAAGGAGAATTGAAATAATTAACATTAACGGAGGAGGGTGGGTGGGGCTCCTTTTGAGGTAGAGAGCAAAGCTGCCTTTCTGTTGATTGAGACGCTTGACTCTTTCTTTGAGGTGGTGCAGGTGTGGCAGCTTTAACTAACTCCTTGATTGGTGACTGTGATGGAGGAGGAGGGTTTTTGGGTTACTGAGGCAGTAGTTGAGGGTGGAGGAGAAACTGGGCTAATTTTTTGCTGAACCTGAGGGCTGGCTGACAGAGAAAGCGATGGCCTTGTCTCAGCTGAAACCAGCTTCTCCATAATTGGTGATAAGTTCAAATGGGATCAGGAGGTGGTGGAGATTGCTAGTGTGGTTTTGGTGTCCCCAGCCGCTCACACGATTGATCATCATTGTGGCTTTCATCCGATAAGTGCCGCTCCATCAGGGCGTTCGTTCTCAGTGGGGAGAGGATGCTGTGGCTCTGGAATGATGATAGAGTCATTGGACGTTAGTGCTGATGTGTCTCCACCAATGGGGATGGATAAGTTGCACATGGAGACAATGAGGTTCTCTGTTCACAAAAACCAGGTTAAAGCTGTCAATATCTTTTAGTCTGTTTGTCCTGCAGCTTCTATATAGCCAGTTGTTTAATCCAAATAGCCTTGAGAACATTTCACTTCGCCCTGCAGGCAGAGGACCACTGATGAATGACTGCCTCTTCTGATTCTTTCTGCATTATGATCACTGCCTTTAGGAGACTCACTGAGGCCTTGCAGTGGGTCAGATCTGTTCTGCAAATGGAGTCACTGGGACCAGTATTCTGCTCTGGCTTTCTGCCATGGTTTCTGAGCAGAAACTTTAGCATTAGCATGACAGGCTGTGCTAGCAGTAGTAGAGGATGAGACTACAGAGCTATAAGTAGCAGAACGTTTGGGTATAGCTCCAATGCAGTCCCTAGCAGCTCCTTACACGTGTTCTGCTGGCCCAGCTCTGTGTGTGTCCACTGTCCACTGCTCTGTTATGCCCTCCGCCTGCTGTCTGCTGCTAAAACTCCCAAACGCTACTCCTTGTGTAATGGAGGTCCTTATGCTCGTGGGTATGTTTTAGTTTTTCCATTTGAATTCACATGACCAAATCGTAAGCCAAACTATTCAGTAACTGCATGAAATAAATGCGAATTTTTATTTCATTTATTTATTTATTTTTAGTAAAAGTTCCCCTCAAATTAACAGAAAATGTGTTTTATGACACGTATTGCTATATGCTTACAATTTACTGCTGAAAGCCAAAAATCTTAAACGCTCTTTGTATTTTATATCACTGAAGAGACGCCATCTGTTTATAGTTTATTGCCCAGATTTGTGGAAAAATGGGTCGACTTTCAGTAGATAGTTCAGCTTCTTTTACTATAAGGGTTTAAAATTACATTACCCATCTATTTGACTGGAAAGAAGACAGTTACAGCTCTCATATGACACCCACCTTTTGAATGTAGCTTATGAAATATGAAAGTTATGAAGAATATGACAAAGTGTGTTTTGGAACCACCGGTGGTTCCAAGGATTTTAAAAGGTTAAACTCAAACGAGAAGCTCCAAAACCTCGCTTCCAAAACTGTCAGGTTCGTAAAAATTCTGACAGCACATGTGTTCTGAAACCTGAAGAGGCATTTTGTAAGTTTCTACTTTGGTAGCCAGGAAAACGTTTCTAATTTCTGTGTCTATAGTAGTACTGTAATAAAAAAACAACAACAACAACAAAAAAAAAACAAGGAAAAATATATACTTTTGGCTTCATAGTGCTCTTGACCTTTCTGTATATATAACGAGCTCAAACACTGTAGCTTGAAAAAAAAACACTTCTAAAAATAAAGAGGAGAAAATAGCAGAGCTAGGCAGAGAAGTATCTGAACAGCAAGGAAGCAGGAAGTAGAGGGGAATTCCACCAATTGTTGAAAATGCCTGCATACCTAAGACGTATACAAGCTTACTCAGAATGATTTGATGTGAAATTGTGAAATTTATCCATTCAGATTTCTTTACAGTGGTGTTGATGGAAACCAGGGGTTGCAATGTCTATAGCGTGAATACAGCCACTTTATTTACTATCCAAAATGTACACGTCTTCTGAGTTTTTATTCGTAACGATGGTAATGATATTTCACTATTTCTCTAACTGATTTCTTTACAATACTAGTGATAGGATTAGGGGTCACAATGTCTACAATGCAAATATGGCCATTTTATTTACTATCCAAGGTTTTATAGGTAATGTTGATATTGGTAAAATAGTGCTACATCTAAAAAATACATTTTCTCTTTTCATGCAATACCCTGTATGTACACTTCTCAAAACTATCACAAAACAATGTCTCAGCTATCAACATATTCATAACCACCCCATGTAATAACTTTCTGTGATATAGCTTATATAGGTATTAAATGCTTCAGACATCTGGTTCCTATCACCGCCACTGTGAACAATTTTGACTTAGTAACTTTCTCTAAAATTGAGCTTTGCATATCAAACCACTCCAAATGATTTTGTTTATATTTTAACAATGTAATTATGCAAACTTGCTTAAGTTTATAACAGAGCAGATTTTAAGAAGCCCTTCAGTGTAACTATGTTCTCATTAAAGCCAACAATAAGGCTTTCAACTTTGTTATATGAATAGTCTAGTTAATAAATGGTTGTTGCAGCACCAAATAATTCAAAAATGGTTTTTGAGCTGTTAAGTCATTAAGCATTATCAACCGTTACTGTTCAGTTGTAGAATCAGGTCCAGAAATACCTTTCATAGACTTGGATAGTTGTCGTGATCTGTGAGGTCAGGCGTTGATGAAATGTGAAAGGTTGTGTGAGCACAAGATTCCACTGGGACTAGCACTGTAGTCTGGTTGTGAGCGGAAGTTTGAAGAGGGATTTAGCTCTCTTGGTGCAGGAGAAAGCCCCCTAATTCTCCACTGCTGGGTAAGAATTAAAGCAACCCATGTCCAGGGGCTTGTCAGCCATATTTACCCAATGCTAGCAGGCAGAGCGCTCATGCAGAGGTATATAATTAGCATGTGAAATGGAAGCTTGTGGACAGTGTCCACCATCCGAGGAATCCTTTGAAAGGAACCGGGAGAGGAGGAGGGGGGGATTGAGGAGGGCTACAAATCAAGGTTATCCTGGCGCATAAACCTCTGGCAAGAGCAACTGTTTCCACTTGTTTGTTATGCTAGCGGAGAGAGAAACATAGGCAATGACAAATGTGGCAGACAATGCCATTAATCTGAAGGACGCTTAACAGATAAACATTAAACCAAGCTCTGGACTAAGTTATGCTTGTATTGGTCATCGATACAGCATTGCAGAGAAAAGTAATAGTGCATGTAGCGCCTTGTCTATAGCATTAGCGTAAGCAGCTAGCCAGCCTGTAACACTATCAATAGGGCTTGGGAATGTGATGTCATGATGCAGTGTATTATGGGTGAGCTGCCATTGTGTGCCATAATTGAATGAATCTTAAATTCATACCTGCTTTTCTTTGATTTTGGCTAAGTCCATGGACAGAAAAAGTTTGCAAGACTACCAGATCAAAGACCAGAACAAAATCAAGGAAAGCAGAAAGAAAATAAGGTTCATTCAACTATTAGCAGATCTAGTAGCATAAGGAAGTTTAATGGGAAGCAATGCAGTGAGAGTGTGGATAAACATCAAGCTTAAGTTCATTTTATAGATCTAATTGCATCCATTTAATGGAATTAAACTTTAATTTATAATTAGATTCATCCTGTTCATAATAAGCTAACAAAGCTCTTTACAAATGCTTTACAGGTGCCAGAATGCAGGTGCTGCACTATTTAAGGTAGAACGGAACTCTTGAATTAGAAGCTGATGAATAAGAAGCAAATCTCAGCTTTGTGGTGAAGTATGCATTAATACTACCACTTCTTAGGGATAAACCTAAACTGTTTTACTTTTTGTCTTATGCTGTGACTAGGCTAGTAATGTCAGCTGAGGTGCCTGACGGTTATCATTTGTGTAGATCTCTTAAAGACTTTAGATTGACTGCCCTTACAGTGTAAATTTATGACATATATGATGTACTATGTACAATTGTGGGAGATGATATTATGCAGTACAATATAGTGCCATTAGTTTGCTAACTAGTCAGGCAACCAGTGTTTGCTAAATGGCTACCTACAGAATATGCCAATGGCTATGAGAAAAATACCAAAAACTGAATGAAACATGGTAGTTACTGATTTAAATCTAAAGTCATACGAACCCTCTCTGGCTGAGTGAAATACAGCAGTAACTGAGTCAAATCTGCAGTAGCTGAGTAAATTACAGCATTAAGTTAGCTGTGATAAATCTGTGGCTGAGCATATCCATCTGCAAACTGTACATGGGCTTCAAGTGGTGCAAACATTCAAAATTACTCAAAAGAATAGGCACACAAGCCACACACCATGGAGTAAAAGGCTATGAATGAAAGATGAGGTGAAGCTAGTGTTGCCAAATCATTACTCCAGTATAGTATATAATCGGTATAATTTTATCATTATAATTGTTATTTGGCATTGCTCTCGTTTAATTTGATTCACTGTTTAAGCATGACATGCCTGAAAAACACAATAAAAAAGAATCTCTTTAAAATCTTGCAGTGTGTGTACACAAAGATGTACACAAAGAAAGAACCCTGCCAATATGGTGGAATGAGCCCATAATGCAGTGCGACATGACTTCGATTCCCAAGCCCTATATGGGTATGCTGCAGTGGTCAGTCTTGGACTTGTGGTGTCATACCTCATAAGTGTTGAAAAGGAGAGCCATCAGTGGCTTTCTGAGAAAGATAACGGCCGCAAAAAAGTGTGTGATGCGCAAGGCCCCAGCAACTGCACTAGCATCATGTTTCTGAATAAATAGCAGAGCCACCTGCTCAGGATGAACACTTGTATAACAACAAGAATATTGTGTGCACCCTCTACTGTCCCCTAGGAGTTTGTGTATGTGTGTGTGTGTGTGTGCACTGGGGGAGATTCAAAGATGTGACACATGAGTACTTGGATTATCCTGCCAATCATGTTCCATGTGGGCTATATGTTCTTTTCAGAATACAGCATTTGCATATAAGGGCCTATGTACTGCCTTTGACTCTGTGTATTGTGATGTTTTGTCTGCAATTATCTCATGGTGTTTGATTCTAATGCCTTCCACAGTGACTCATGCAAGGACAATAAATGTAAGCAAAATGATAAAGATATAACTTAAAATAGTCTGCAGTTAACATTGTTCCATAACACACAAATGAGGCTCTTTGACCCCGAGGCATTTCAAAACCTTGGCTTAATGACTGCTTTTTAGAAAATTTGACCTCTGTATCAGCTACTTCTGGGTGAAACCTCCTGATGAGGTGTAGCATTTGGAATGTGGCTAAGAGGCATGCTTAGCATGGCATTACTCTTGACCTGATAATTTACTGAATGAATGCTGGGGCCCCTTTAAGGTCACCTATTACCCTTTTATGACAGTCTGTCCTTTTGTTCTTTTATAGCATGCATAATTATTACTTGGACTGTCAATGTTAATGCATTCATTTACTTCAGTTATGAGTAAAACTGGGTTGATTAAACACACAGATAGTGTTTAAGCTGCAAGCGTAGATGAAAAAGGTGTATGTTTGGCATTTACAACCCTTTAAACATACATACATACATACATACATCATCTAAACCGCTTATCCTTCTGGGTCACGGTGGGGTGCTGGAGCCTATCCCAGCTGTCATTGGGCGGAAGGCAGGATACACTCCGCCCTTCCGCCTTTAAACATGCTTATGTCTATATAACATACATGTCAGTTTTATAGTAGTTACTGTAGTTAATGAACAATAAGTCTTAATATTTATAGCTGAATGATAGGTCAAAGGTTCAAGGGGTTAATTACTCTTGATTCTAAACAGCTCAACATGTGGAACTCACTTTCATCCTGACTTAGAAGAAGATACTTCACATAAGGCCAACTGTAAATGACCGCTATATGACCAGAAGAACAAGACACCTACATCTATATATATATATATATATATATATATATTATATATATATATATATATATATATATGGATAGACAGATAGATAGATATACACACATACATACATAAAAGGGGGGTTGCTAAAGTTTACATATTTACATGTTTTACTAAAACATTAATAATTATGGGCTGGATAGAGACAAAGAATTAACAAATAACTATATGCATTAAATGAAATGTACACATATATAAAACACTTATATATATGAATACATAAAATAAAATAAAATAAATACTACATACTTCTGGGGCCCCCTAATCCCTATGATCTCCACACAATCCCTCCGCCTGATGCTCATGGAGTATTCTTATGTACTGAATGTATTGTCAGAGCTCCACGCTGGGTGATATTTCATCCCTGGAGGCCTGCCAGGTCATTCCTGAGGACAGACACTAGGCTATATCTGCTGGCTGACAGCAGCCAGGACATAAAAGCTGCCATTGTCTCAGCAGCCTGTTGTTGTGGCCTCAGTCAGTGCTCATCTACCAGACAGCAGCCAGGTAAGCCCTGATTGTGAATTCTGATTCTTCCATTTTAAGCTTGGCTATAGAACTTTGGAATGCAGTTTTCCTTTGAAATGACAGACTTTTTCTCTTTTCTTATGTGATAAAGGTTGTCACAATGTCAATGTAAGTATCTCTCTTTTCTGTTAGTTCCACAGTAAGGGCCTGCATTGTTGAAACTGATGCTATTTTTTTATTATGCTACATCGAATAACTACTTTACTCAATGATGAATATCTCTTTTCTTATACACACTTCATCATTTGACTACGGCAGTCAGGTGAGCATCTATATGCAGTTTGTTTTGGATACAGGATGACTGCATAAAGTGTTATTTTTCATCTGTTTTGTTTATAAAAGTGAAATTCAGTAGATTTAACGCATATTTGGACAGTATTCTGCAGTAATTGTTCATGTGGGATCTTCCTTTCGTCATGGCATTGTAATTACAGGGACGCCCAAAAGGGAACCCGAAAGCATTTGACAAGGTATTTATAGGAATGATTTTATTCATGCTCAACATACTGGACTTTTACAACAAGTTGGCAGGTTATAGAACATTTGCCAATGAATATCAGATGTTTGCACGTGTCTAATGTGCATTTTAATCTTCACAGCCAAAATGCAAGATTTCTGCGTCTCGAAAACTCTCGCTTAAGGTTTGTTTCCGTCATTACAGAACATTTACATAGAATTTGTCAATTATTAATAGAATTTTCAATTTCTTTAAGCAGAATCAGCATGGTGGTAGCTGTCATTACATACTAAGGGTTAATATTCTGTAACTACAGGGACATCAGTGCAAACAGGCTGAGCTATTTCTAGGTTATCTAAGTGTGTGATAAAACGTTGTGGGCCCTGGCCATTTAAGGGATTAAGAGATGAGAAGGAAGGTGACTGGGAGCAGGGGGGTGTGCTGACCTCTTGATAATCAAGACAAAACTCAGGATAACTTATCCTTATTTTTAGCAAAAGCTCTAAATTATTTTGCTTACATTTTCATGCAATTAAAGAGAATACTTTTCAAGAATATACCCTGAGCCATTACTAGGATCAAGATTTTAGTGAGGTCCATTTTGTAGAAAAGTATGAAAGTACTATAAAAATATACATTATATACATTATACTTACAATCTCCTAATAAGTATCTTGTACTTATGACTTGGTGTCCTATAATGAGATTCTATGTCATAATTTTGACTATAAATATGACTTAGCATCTCATAATTACAGGAAATTGTTCTCATTATTACAAGATTGTAAGTCATTATTGTGAGACCTAAGGTCAAAATTGTGGAAAACTTTCCCATTATTATGTGACACCAAATCATAATTATGAGATAGTAAGCCATAATTATGAGAAACTTTATCAAAACCTATTATTTTGATATAGTATGTGGCCCTTTTTTAACAGTGGCTGAAGTGGGCTTCCACAGAAGAGTGACCCATAACTACTTAATATGTTTATTACACCAACTGCCAATTTCTATTTTTTTTTTACCAAATAATTGCATTTTTTAAACCATCAATCTTGTACCTTTTTCTTTCTTTTGTCCCTTTCCCATCCCTCCATTCTTCCATAAACAACTGCTATTGTTCCATGAACTAACTTGACTCCAGATTTTATTTCATCTACCTCTTCTTTTCTCCCTGTATGACTCTTTTTCTCTCTTGCATCTCAGTCCTCAATGATTACTGAATAAGCATACATTAAAAATACATTATAGAAGTCTGTCTCTACCAAACCCCAGGTAACAGGGAAGGACATACAGTATTCATACAGTTACGCAGACATAATACAGTCTAATGTTCCTGTTGACTGAAATATGGTAAATGATACTGTGCTATCAATATGCTATAGTTAACAGTTATCTTTCTCATGCTTGTTGCAGTATTTAATGAGTAGGTAACATCCTACACCAATAATCTCTCTCCTAATCGCTAATATAAGACAACTATGGAGCTTGTAGTCTGTGACTGCTGATTGGGTAGTCTCATCTCTGTTTCTACACTAATCTCATATAATGTTTCTAAAACTACTAAGGACCTCTTTGTCCTCATGCTAGGTATGCTGAAGGTAGACTGAAGGCTTAGGGCAATGGTGGATAGCAACAGTTGCTAAGCAGCGACTGGAGGGCTGAGAAAAATAAGGTGGAGCTTGCCAGACAGTGCAATGACTTTGATTTGCCATAATACAGTGTCAACACTCACAGAAAACAAATCAAATTTCATTGTTTTGAAAAATGCAGCTTAATAAATATTCTATCCCCTTTTGTTTGGGTAGGCCTGCAGCTAAATCTCATGAATGAAGGTACATGAAAAAAAACTCTTCTGATTCCACTGAGGTCCTGAACCCAGTGTCCTTGTAGTTAGTTATGGCCATCAAAACTATTTTACAATTTCTTGATTGTGACTATAAGAAAAGGAACATTTTACTTCCTGTGCGTACAAAATGTGACCTCTTGAGCCCTACCCCTGTTTTTTCCATCATTAGTCTTAGAACATATTACTTAATGAGTATTATGAAGTAGTTGGTAACCAGAGGAGGGTAATTTAGGTCCAGAAAATAAAAATTCTCCTTGTGATATTGCTCCAACAGTGTGGATACCTCTGCTGCCCAACAGTTTAAAGAAAATCCTGGTGAGAATTTTTACTTTCTGGACCTAAACCACCCACCTCTGTTGTATTTTAGTAACTATTAAGTAGTTAAGATAAATATGAGGGTAATTGAAGTGTAGGCCTAAACTCTAAACCTTTAGTTATGTATATATTAATGATACACATTTTCAATGCCAATAAATAAGTACATGAATGATTAAAATAAAATAAAATAAAACATTAGACAGTGTTTGCGCTTTCCGCAGTGGTACTGCTTTATTTATTAATGTATATTTAGGATCTTAAGGTCTTTTTCTTTATTGAATAAAGCCCAAATTAGACAATTCTAAATAGTAATTCGCTGTGCAGTAAGCTGTACTCAGTATGACCTGTATTAGTACATAATTATCCATCAATAATTGTGCTTTAATAGTACATAACAAACCTTGTTCTACAAATTATGCAGCATGAAGTGATCATCTAAATTTCTTAATAGATTTCTATCACTAAAGTTTAATTAGTTTGTAACTGGAGACATTGGTTTCTTATGGGTTCTAGGTAGTGACAAGTTCCTCTGCTGTTACTACATTAGAACTCATAAGAGTTTCATCATAAGTCATTAATACTTCAAGATGTGTTCCATATTCTAAAGTGCAGTTTTAGTCTTCACTAATTAGAGGCTAAGAATTACTAAACAATTCTTTAATTGCACAGTTTACATGCCATATTCTAAACTAAGGACTATTTAATGGGTTTTTAGTAGCCAAAACATACAAGCGTAGAATATTTCATTTTAGTAACATATTTCATTATGGAACATTTCATTTTAGCAACCAAATGTGGATAAATCAAACTCTTCAATCTTCAATCTTTTTATGTAGTAATACAAATCTTGCTGAATAATCCTCAAATGGCCAGGCCCTGCTGACAAAGTTTTATTACACACTTCTATAAACTTCTAGAAAAGCCTGGGATTTCAAGGGGTTAGGTAATAGTGAATAAACCAAATCTCTAATTTGGGCTAAAAACAAATAACTTAATTAAGCCCCTATAAATGTGTTTCTTAAATGAATGTAAATGACATTGTTGCAATTTTTTTAAAGATTAAAGACTGCTCTATTAATGATTACATTCCTCTTGTCCAATCAGATGCTGCTCCTCAACAGAGCCATGGAGGAACTGGAGAAGGAGAAGCAGGATAGAGATGAGGAGAAAGTCCGTTACCTGGGAGAGAAAATGCCTGCTCTACAGCTCTCTGGGCTTTCACTGGATGAGTTACAGGTATAAATATAAGACAATAAACAAAAAAATTGTTGAAAAAAAAGGACCCATGTCCTACATTTTTCTTGTATTTTAGTTTGACATTTGTGTGATCTGATGTACCAAAATATTATAATCCTATTTTTCATGACCATTTTCCAACTATTTGTTATATAGATTGTTACTGTTACTGTGCCTTTAAGACTGAAATATGTAAATGAGCTCTGTTCTGAATGGCCTGTATCATGCTTCGTTTAAAAAAGCAGTCCAGGCTGAAACACTCCTTATAACTTCAATGTGAATGGGCGGGGCTTAACTGTCAACTTATTAAAGCCAAATAGGTGGATATATGTAAATGTGTTGGGTGCTGTGACATCACAAAAACAATGAATTCAAGGCAGGCTGTTTTTGCAGCTTAGTTTCCACATATGGACCGTATAGACTGGAGCATGAATAGTATGTTTGAAATGATTAACAACATTAACAAAGTACATCAAACTATTTTTTCCATGTTTTGTCATGATATGGGCTCTTTAATGCCAATCTGTCATTCTCAGTCATAAAAAACAGCTCTAGCAGCTCATGGACAGTGTCTCAGATATAATTTGACTGTAGAAAGTACAAATGCTGCAGTGTTTTTCATAATGTGGTATGCTCTCTTCATGGCATGCTTGCTGCTTTGCTCATTCCTTTCAGAATCTGTGCAAGCAGCTCCACGCAAAGATCAATATTGTGGATGAAGAGCGGTACGATTGTGAGTCTAAGGTGCACAAGAACAACAAAGATGTGAGTATGAATTACATCACATGCAAGACTTTTAGACTAAATCGAAACCTCTCTCTTCTAGCTTGCTTTCTCTCTGACCTCATAACCTCTGCTTAGTAACTCTGTTTTTGAATTCTCACCCAATAAGAGAACAAGCATACGTTTATACTATATACAGTCCTATGCAAAAGTTTGAACACCCCTACTCAAATGAAATGTTTTGCTGATTTTCTAAGTGAAAATAAGTTAACACACTCTCTACAGAGACAATAATAATAATAATAACAATAATAATAACAACAACAACAACAATAATATAATAATAATAACACAGTAATAATAATAATAACAACAATAATAATAATAATAATAATAATAACCAGGGTGCTTTCTGTGTGGAGTTTGCATGTTCTACCTGTATCTGCATGGGTTTCCTCTGGGTTCTGTCTGTGTGTGTATTATTATTATTATTATTATTATTATTATTATTATTATTAAATGTGGCCCTTGCACGCTGTGTAACTGTATAACTTATTAAATTCTTTTTGTTTTGAAGTAAGTAATTTTATATTAGTTCAGTAATAAAAATAATGTATTTACTGTTTTATGTCCTTTAGCATGGAAAAGGCGCTATATAAATAAAAGTGATGAAGATGATGATGATGATGATGATGATGATGATGATGATAATGGTGATAATGTAATGCTACAAAATGCAGTCTAAAGATATATGCAAAAGTTTGAACACACCTGGTCACAATTACACATTTTGTTGATTTTCTAGGTGAAAATATGTTGACACATCCTCTACAGAGAACAAACATAAATATACCTTTTCTTCTGCAAATTTTAGTACGCAATTTCTGTTTGTTTGCTGAATTTTACATATTGTAAAAAACAAACCATAAAACGTTAAGTGCTCCATAAGTTTTGCATAGGCTACATTTTACACCCCCCCTCCAAGATGTTACATTCATCACATAAACAGTAACTGTGCATTAAAATGTGCAGAAGTGTGTTACTGCTCTACAGAGAGCTTATTTTCACTCAGAAAATCAGTCCACCACAAACATTACAAACATTGACCAAAAGTACCCCTGATAACGTTTAGTGTCTTAGTCTTTAGTGTTATCTCTTTTTAACTGTTCAATCTTTTTAACTGTTAAATTTTTTTATCTTGTTTTTAGTGGTTTCTTTACTGTCTAACTCCTTTTCTTCTTTTTTTCCTTCCCTTTGAACTGCAACTTTTATTTTGAAAGGCACATTATTATTATGAAGATTATCATATTCATCACCATATTATTATTCAATGGTAGAGAGCTGGAGTTATACAGTAGAATCATTTCACACACTGCCCTCTGTAGTCATCTCTCTCTCTCATTCCAGATTCATGAGCTGAAGCTGAAAGTTCAGGATCTGGGAGGTAAATTTAAGAAGCCAGCTCTGCGGAAGGTGCGCGTGTCTGCTGATGAGATGATGCGAGCTCTGCTGGGCTCCAAACACAAGGGCTCCATGGACCTCCGAGCTAACCTCAAGTCAGTCAAGAAGGAGGACATCAAACAAGAGAAGGTATAAAGGGTTCACAACATATACTTTTTAGCTTTTAAGGTCTTGAGAATGGCAAACTATTTGAATAAACCTCCAGTTATTACGTATTGCATCATTACAGCTTTTGTCCTGCAGAATGCGCCAATGCATAATTTGATTTTTAAAGAGTTTACTTTCCAAGAGGTGATTCTCTGGCCAGTGGTGGACTTTAATACAGAAACAGATGGTACTGTGCAAAGGTTTTAGGGAAAATATATATTATATAGAAAATATATATTATATATTTGAAAAAGGAATTTGGGCAGTAAGCCTTTTTTCAGAAAAATTTGACATTAGAATAACTAAAATAAAATAATAATAAAATAATAATTAATATATGTTAATATGTTCATTTAACCATTTCCAACCCTCCCCTCAAGGAAACCCAGTATTAATAACTACAGTATTGTAGTTATTATCTAGTACCTGGTGGTCAGTCAAGTTGAATCAAGTGTGTTGGTGGTTGATTTCTTGCAATGGCTGATGACCTCGAGAAATTGTGAACATAAACCAAAAATTCACACTCTTAAAAATAAAGGTGCCAAAAAGGGCTCTTTGCATGATGCCATAGAAGAACAACTTGCAGTTTCCTAAAGAACAACTTGATGAATAGATAACCCTTTGTGTAAATGATATGCGTGAGTGTAAAAAACCTTTTTAAAGTTTAAAGAACCTCCATGTAATGTAAAGATTCTAGGAAGGTCCCTTAAATTGGCACGAAGCAGAAGCTGGCTTCTTATTTTGAAAGCTTCTTATCAGAAGTTTCTGTTCCACCATTAATGGTGCAGTAGTTCCATTCTGGTTCCCACCATTTAAGGTGGAAAGGAAAATTTGAATCAGAAGCCACCCTTGTTAAATTGTTTACATTATATGAAAGTTTTAAAGGTTCTTTACACTTGCAAACTCGTTTTCTTTGTAAACGTGGTTCATCAGGAAATAAAACATACTTTAACCACACCTTTTGTTTAAGGAACAAACAGATTTAACTGTTGACCCAAAGCCTAAGACGTCTTTTCATACTGATAACAATCAGTCCGAGCTACTGTTCCTGCTTTCTGTCTCCGGGTTCATTTATCTCTACTGGCCACTCCAGTACCACAGTCTCAACACTGACCTACCAATTTGTACTTTTCCTTGTTATCAGGTCCTGACTTCTGAAGTAGGAGACTGGCGTAAGAATGTGGAGGCCATGTCTGGTATGGAAGGCAGGAAGAAGATGTTTGATGCTGCTGGTGGAGGCCAGTAAACTGCATATCACCCTGACTAAGACTGTCTGGAGGGCAGCGAGGAGAGATTCTGCACAAAATGGCACAGAGAGGAGAAAAGAAAGAAAGGAAGGAAGCATTAGAGCCTCCAGTACTTGCTTGGCCTGGTTAATTAGTGGATTCTCTCTTAAAAATAAGGGTGGAGAAAAAGGTTCTTTAAAAGCCATAGAAGTTTCCTTGTGACACTGTCAATTGATGCTTCCTTATAGAGCTGCTTTTTTTTAAAGCTTAAAAAGTCACCATGTACTGGAAAGGTTCAATTCTAATTAAAGCCAGATGTCCAAAGCAAGAACTACATAGGAACCTTTATTTTTAAGCGTGTATCTATTAAAATATTTGCAGCCTAACATTCATAAATGGCACTGACAGTCCTGCCATAACCGTTTAAAACCAGCTTAAAATCTAGAATTTAGCTTACTTCTTTATAATAAGTAATTATTCATAATACATTTATTAAATAAATAAGTTTTGTTTACTTTAATGAGTACCCCAAGTGGGAATTGCTGCAGGCCCCCGATACAACATTATCACAATACTTGAGACATGATTGAAGTCTGTTGTGATATTTAAAACTTTGTAATATGCAAAGTAATGCAACGTGCTGCAATTTATTTCTATCTTATTTTTTTTCTCAATCAATAAATATGTCAGCGAGCACTATCTGATCATTCCCAGAAATAACTGCCCTGACAGAAACCTTGGCCTCTCCTGAAAGAAATAGTGCCATCTTGTGGATTAAGATAGAAATGCAATTTGGTAGATGACTAGTCTAAAAAAGCATTAATACATAATTAAATAATCAATATCAACTTGGTTCGCTGTGGATTGATAGTTTTTTGAACCCAAAATATTGTAATATGATTTTTTTCACCCCTATTAGCAAGTGTGTAGCTACTAGTAGTTTCTGCATTGAAATGCACACACCTACACAATATGGACAAAAGTATTGGGACACCTACACATTACCCCCAAAGGATTTTTTTTTGACATCCCATTCTAAACCCCTAATATGGAGTTGATCCCCCCACTTTGCAGCTATAACAGCTTCCACTCTTCTGCGAAGCTTTCTACAAGATTTAGGAGTGTGTCTGGGAGGATTTTTATCCATTCATCCAGAAGAGCATTTGTGAGGTCAGACACTGATGTTGGACGAGAGGGCCTGGCTCGCAATCTCTGTTCTAGTTCATCCCAAAGGTGTTTGATGGGGTTGAGATCAGGGCTCTGTGTGGGCCAGTTGAGTTCTTCCACACCAAACTCACCCAGCCATGCCTTTATGGACCTTGCTTTGTGCACTGAGGCAGTCATGTTGGAAGGAAAAGGGCCTTCCCCAAACTGTTCCCACAATTTTGGAAGCATATAATTGTTCAAAATGTCTTGGTTTGCTGAAGCCTTAAGATTTCCCTTCACTGGAACTAAGGGATCTAGACCAACCCCTGAAAAACAACCCCTTAGCATTATTCCTCCTTTATAGTTGGCACAATGCAGTTAGGCAGATAATGCTCTCCTTGCATTCACCAAATCCAGACAGGAACTCTTTAGTGAGTGATTCTTACTATTTACTTACTATTACACGTTCAGTAAAGTTGAAATGATTATTGTCTTACAGTGTTGTAGGTCTGTCTTCTTCACAGAGATTTTAGGCACTCAGACATTTGCTCCCTTTTACTCTCTCTCTCTTGCAGTCTCTCATTCTCTTTTCTGATCTCTCTCTCTCTCTCTCTCTCTCTCTCTCTCTCTCTCTGAGCTTGAAGGGTTGGGGAATGCAACCCTGAATGAAACCATGACTGATAAGAATGCTGTGTAAAGGAGCTAGAATGATTCAAGAGAAATGTTAACGTAATGAGCTTCAGGGCTGGTTAAGAAATATTTGAGGCTATAGGCCCAGAAGCTCAGTCCAGGCAACGCCCTTGGTTACGTGTACACTGAATGAAAGTCTTAAGGCTGTGTAGCTTATATCACATTAAACAGTGTGCAACTAATCAGTGTGTTCTCCCCTTTTTATTATGATCACTGACCTCAGGTACATGACATCAGGTACATGTACAGACCTCAGAGGGGGCTTGAGCCCCTGCCCCTTTGCCCTCAGACTGTGCCCTCTTGGTCTGTGTGTTATAATAATTGTGTTTCATATCACCTCTGCCATTCCTCAACTGTTTCAGTGAAGTGAGGCTAAAGCAACAGAATTTGTGGGTTGGCTGGGGTTCGTCTGCCCTCTCTTTTGCAGTACTGATGCACGTGCAATGTTAGAAACTTCATCAAGGTACAAACAATGTAAATGTACCCTCAAAGACACAAGAGTGGTTTTAAGATCCAATTGTGCATCTTAAATATGTTTTTTCCCAGTAGAAAAGTACTTATTTGTACCTTTTCATAACCTAATGTTTTAAAACAGAACAACAAAGAAGACGAGACAGGATGTGTGGAATCAGTACAATTTAGAAAATATAATTTCAATGGATTATGGTACAATTATGTTTTCATTTTTGTTTGCTTACTAAAAACTGTCACTGCGTAAGTACTGTATTATGTCTCTTCCCTTGAACTTGTTGTCCAGCCGGTTTAAGGAGCCTTGAGGTTCTCAACTTTTTCACATTTTTGTCCTACACGATGACGTTATCAGAAACAATAGCACAACAGTTTCTCCAAGTACCCTAAAAAAAATGATAGTGACAAAAGGGTGCTTGGTGTGATGCTATTAGGCCTGTCAAACTCCTAAAAATGTAGCTGACAATTAAGTTACAATTAAGTGATCAATCATTTAATTGTATTTTTGTTCATTGTATGCAACTATTAAAACTCAAGTCTAAAGTGGCCACATTGGCTGATGAGCTGTCTTGCTTCCTAGCTGTCCATACTTAATATCTCCCAACTGAAAACATTACTCACTGCTGGTCTCGAAGGTTCTCAATAAAGGCTTCTCTGATTTCTGATAAGCATTTGCCTCTACCCAACTGATGAAAACATATGAAAACATTCTGTTTGTGGCGATGTGAACAAACAATTGTGCGACTGTGGAAAAAACTGTGATCAGCTCAAATTATATGGAGTTAATTTTGTGCCAAAAGTTTCAAATAAAATTATAAAATCCACAAACAAAATATCAAGCATTAAAAGGTCCAAAATATGTTGCTTCAGACACTTACCATTTTTTAACAGGGCAGGCAGGTCTTAGAAGAGGCTGTTCACCTGCACTTTCTGATTTGAAATGACAGGTCTTCTGTCAGCAAGCAGCATATATGTGACATGACCGATAACATCATGCAGACTGATTTGCCTTTATTTATTTATTTGTTTGATTTATGGTTTACCCCATTTCCAAAAAAGTTAGGACTATGTGCAAAATGTAAATAAAAACAAAATGCAATGATGTGCAAATCATTTAAACCCTATATTTCATTGAAAATACTACAAAGACAACAAATCAAATGTTGAAACTGAGAAATTTTATTGTTTTTTGAAAAATATTTGCCCATTTTGAATTTGATGCCAACAACACGTTCCAAAAAAGTTGGGACGGGGGCATGTTTACCACTGGGTTTCATCTCCTCTTCTTTTAGCAACTCTCTGTAAGCATTTGAGGACTGAGGAGACTGACTGCTGTACTTTTGAAAGTGAAATGTTTTCTCATTCTTGTTTGATATAGGATTTCAGCTGTTCAACAGCTCAGGGTCTCGTATTTTTCATTTTATCATGTGCCAAATGTTATCAGTGGGTGACAGGTCTGGACTGCAGGCAGGTCAGTTTAGTGCTCGGACCCTTTTAATACGGAGCCACGCTGTTGTAATACATGGGGAATGTGGTTTGGCATTGTCTTGCTGAAATAATCAAGGCCATCCTTGAAAAAGACGTTGTCTGGATGGCAACACGTTGCCAAAACATGTATATATCGTTCAGCATTAATGGTGCCTTCACAGAAGTTAGGTGCCTTTCAATGTTATTATGTACCATAGATGATGAAAAGCAAAAGTTCTTTGCTATTTTATGTTGAGAAACGTTATTCTTGAATTGTTGCACTATTTGATGCAGTCTTGCACAGAGTGGTGAACCCCTCCTCATCTTCACTTCTGAAAGACTCTCTGAGTTATTGACCTGCTGCCAATTAACCAGCTATACCAGCCTTTTGTTGCCCCATCCCATTTTTTTTGGAACGTGTTGCTGGCATCAAAACAATTTAGACAAGTCAATTAACATTAGAAACGTTGTGTTTGAAGCATTTTCAAGGAAATATACTGTTTATATATAGTCTTTTTCACAGCGTGCCAACTTTTTTGGAAATGGGGTTGTACATATTTCCTTGCAAAAACACTCCTTTGTTTGTTCTAACAATATACATATACAAATCAACTGCATTTGAAGATGTCATGACCTTTGACTGCAAACTGGTGTGACAGGATCCACGTTACGCCTCATGAGAGCTGTTCTGTTACATATCATTTTAGCTATGCGGTTCAATGACGCTTTACCTTGTTGTATAGGACACTTTGATGATGTTTAGAAAAGACTTAAGTTGACTGACATACTTTAACATTTAACATTCAAACTCAGAGTTCTTATCAGAGGTGATTGCAAAAACATACTGCAGCAACCTGCTACTGGCTGGCATTGGCCTCTAGAAGCTCGTGAGGCTTGGAGGATCATGGTAGGTGCCACGCCCTCCAGAAAAAGGCACTTCTTGTTGTTAATGTTGTCTAGTAGTATAGAGCAGAGGCTGTCAACATGTGGCTCTTTTACTGCCCTGATGCGGCTCAACAGCAGAATAAGATTTTTAGGTAAATTAAAATAATCCACCTTTGCAGTAAAAGAAAATGGTCTGAAATGCTGGAGTTAATGTATAACTGCTAATTACCAAACTTTAACCCTGAAGGTTGGCATGCAGACCGCTGGTCACATAGCAACACGGGCAAAGATGAAGATTTTGTAATAATTTTGAGACAAATGGACTCATTTGCTTTATAAGCACTCCAGCTCGTTTCCTGATACGTTTAATCTGCAACGAGAAACATTGTCACAGCCAAGATGGTAAAATGGACATAAAGTATTGTGGCTCCCAAGGTGGGTTGATTTTTGCTGCAAGGACAAAATAGCTCTTTGGGTTGCCAACCCCTGGTACAGGGTGTATATATGTGTTATTTGTGTTACTCTGTGTAGCGGCATGTGTGTTTTGTGTGTGTGTGCTGGGGGAGGTACTATCAGGGTAAAGCCTGTGGCTGGTGGTGACCTTCCTTGCGATTTCGTGCTTTGTATGTGTCTTTCTGCCCTGATGTTTACGAAAGAGCACTTGTCAGGGTGGAA